AATAACACACTTTAAATCAAAATGGCATCACGTTTCCTCCAAAGCTTTTCGCGTTCAGCGCCCACCGCAGCCCGCTCATTGCAACAGCGAAGCGAAGGTAGCCATCATCCCCCTAGACAACAAAAAAGCAACTGACATGTTTCATCTCAGTCCTCGCACCCGTCCTTACCCGCACATACGCCAGCAGCGCAGCGCCAGGCCAAGCATCCAACGTCTCCAACCCCCAAGCAAGCAGCGCCGAGAGCCAGGACATCAACAAGAGCGCCTCGGTCGGCCGAACAGACAGGAACGATGGCGATCATGCGTCGATACAGAATCCAGTTAGCCATCCAGAGCACGACCGAGCAGGCGCGACGGAGGAGACTACAGAGAGCCAGGATAACATGAAGCATGACCCCAAAGAGTCGGATGCGAAGAAGAGGGAGAAGACGCTGAACTATGGCCAGAATAAGCCTTTAGATGCGGCGGATAAATAGATATTAATAAACGAACGTAATGGTTTTCTGTCAACTCCAATGCGAGTAGAGATCAAAGAACAATCTAATCGCTATCAATGCGACACATCTTGAGAATGTATCATGATGGTACGCCCAAGGGTTTCGTGAAAAGAAGCTTACCATTTGATTCTCGTGCTGGAGCATTCGACTGACGAAGGTCGCACGTTAATCTCCGCCCCCCTATCCTCAGAACAGTCAGAGATGGACTAGTACCTTCAACTGGAAACTTCCCCTCAGAGGTGAGGTACACAGAGAGGATAGGATCTGCTGAGGCAATGTCAACAAATGGTAATCGAACACTCTCCATGAGGGAAGTATGTCTCCAAATATTCCCCGGCGTCTCCCTCGATGTCTTCATCCGTTTCATGGAAGTACCATATGAAATGTCCCTTTCTTTCATATACCTTCTCACCATCGGAACCAATCTCTTTCAACAGTAGACCGTCCAACAATTGAAAGTCACCATCGATCGTGTGACTTAGTGCGGCAAGCACGCATTGGCTTCCATCATCTGGTATATCGTCCATGTCGTCCATCTGGAAAGTCAAGTCGTGTGGTCCGTTTGTTACGAATCTTATTATCCCCCAGCTGGTCTCCGGTGGAACGTTACTCCATTCGACGATCCGGCACCAGGTCCGGATGGTCAAGAGAAGCTCATGTTCTAATCGTGCTTCATGACCTGTTTGGCCTATTGGAGAGTACTCATACATTTCCATGGCTGCTAACGACGTCATATCCTTTCCGTGAGTCGACCCCGTCTCCACCCGGCCATCCACCGATGCCCAACTCCAGCTCGGAGTTGCAAACCAGTCCTCGTCGCATATCGGATTCGAGGACTTGGGCAGCCTTTTCGGTACTCTGTCTTTAGCACGTGATATGCGTGAGGTTCGTCTGTTTGTGTACCAGCTTAGGCTTAGGGGTAATGTTTTGATGAAATGACCGCCAAGGTACATGTCATCCATTGCATAGCCCATGCGTTTTGAGATAGCTGAAAGCGCCACCAGCTTATCAGTTTGAGGGTACGTGAGCTGACGTGCACTATATTCCTCGATGATTTTGGACCAGATAACTTCCAACTCCGCGCTATCTGAAGTTGATCTATTAACTTCCATATCCTCGCTATTTGGAATGTGCGGAAGGGATGGTATCGAACAATCAAGATTACTTCTAAAGAACTTCGTCAGGTTGGAGCAGTGTGAAAAGCCGCATGGAAGAGATTCGCTTGCATGTGGGACCTGTTCACAGTCCCAGAAGAGCTCTCCATGACCAATGCTCAGGACACGAGTAGCCAGCAAGCGTTCTTGCATGACCCACGCGCGACTGCCAGTCGGCTGATCGTTGAGTGCTTCCGTGAAGTAGTCTCGAGATAGTACGGTGTATTCATGAGTCTCCATGGAGCCTAGATGATGCGGTTTGTCGACGACATCAACTTTGAAAGGCAGCGTAGAGTCGAAAGTATAACCTCCAAGGCAACTTTCATTCGGACAAGCTGCTTGTGCCAGGGATAAGTTGATGATGCAGTTCGAATACACTTCTTGCATCCGTCCAGACTCGAATTGCCAGTCCTTGCTACTACCAAATCCAGACTGTATAATGCAAAGGGCGTCGATCCAGAGGTACTGGATACCAAGTTTCACTATGATGTGTATAGCCTCTTGGAAGGCGATGGGAAGACTGGTATAAGGCTGTCCGTCCCGAAAGTCTTGTAAGTTGTTGGCTGTCAGGCGAAGAAAACTGGGATTTGGTCCCCAACAGTAGCTCAAAGCAGCGTATGGGCCCGAAGGTTTTTCGTCTTGTGAGAGGATCAAGCGGAAGTTATGACCTCCAAGCTCAAGAAGCCGTGTAGGATAGGTATGTGGTTGAATATGCTTCTGACATTGCTCGTGCTTGTCTAAGCAAGAGTTCATCCATTCCAGCGCAGCCTCAATAGATTGGGTTACAGGGATGGTGGGTTTTCTACGGTATACACTGGTTGCTACCGGTAGTAGTGCTCTTGGTACGATGTAAAACCAGCGTACAAGCTCATCTCGCATTTGATCTTTGTTCGCGTCTATTCGTATGTGCAACCAAGTAACATTGGGGGGTCGTTCATCGTAGTCCCGTCCGTACTCGCAGGCACCGGTGAAGCAATCGTCGAAATTGCTTATCTGTACTCTTGCAAGCTTTAAAAGAGGAGCACATACATAACAACCATCTGCTGCTGCTTTTGTGAAAGACTCAAGGCTAGTATGATGATCGCCTCTTTTAACATCGCTTGTGAACATGTGCGAGCATACGTCGCAAAGCATTTTACTTCCCTCCTCTGGGCACGTAGCTGCGAAGGCAGATGGGCAAGGCGGACTGATGGCGAATAATGGCGTGTGCGTGTCGGGACAGTAGAATGACAAATAGTGGCATCATCGGTCGTGCATAATGCGGATGACCTGGTCAACACGAACGACTGGAGAGGTTGAGGGGCTTGCAGTTGCTAGGTGTCAACAGACATCAGGCAAAGTGATCGTAGTGTCAGTGCAAGGTGATGCCTGGTTGTGAGGCGTAGGTGCGGGGTGTCAGCTGCCCAGCCTGAACGCATCTTCGGACGACTCAGAGCCGCATAGAACACTCACTCGCGCCACATCCCTAATCTTGTCGCAACACCAACACCCAACTCATCAACGTCGCATCTACTTCTGATTACTCATTGTTAGACTTTTTTCGACTTCGTAGATGCTCGCACGCATCGCTGCAATCGCATTAGCTTGCTGTCCAGCCGAGTTGGCAGTGAATCCCGTCTCTTCCGCCACACCGTACTGCGCCGACTCAGTGCGCCACATCGTGTGTCCGTATTCGTAAAGCCGATAACCGTTCGGAGGAGATGAAAAGCAAGTGCAAAGGCAGATTGTTTCGCAGTTTCGAAACTGTTAAACACGGGACAGCGGGCACTAGTGTTTTGGCATTCACAGTCCACCAATGAGCAACATCAGATCACCACTAGCGCCTCGGCAACATCAGCTGTCGTTCATGCTACACCCCCTAGAGCCCACTATAGCTCTAGGCCTAACGGCGAACATGTCTCGCTTGGGCGAAAACACCAGGAGGTGTGAAACTTTGGTGGAGGTTCGATAGCGTTGAGTGAAGGGTGCCCTGGATTGTGGCACGGTAAGCATGAAACCACCCGCCCTGCGAACCTCAGGCATAAGTACAACGATTGCCGCCTCGTGTATTTTCCTCATCGCGCTTCATTCTCTTACCAACTTTACTTACTATCCTTTCTTTCAATCTCGTCTATCGTTCATTACATTCGTTACCAAGGCACAGGATGTCTCTTTACACTCTTTTCGCTGCGGCCCTTGTCGCTCAGTTCGCAAACGCGTACACCGTCATCCAGATCCCTCCTCCTTTCATGGAGAAGAACATTGATCCCATTGTCTTCCCCGGCGAGTTTGACAAGTCGCATCTCCACTCCTTCTACGGCTCCGACGCCGTCATCGCCAGCACAAAGACCAGTGCTGAGCTTCAAAAGGGTTGCACTAGCGCCGAGAACCCCAACGATCTGTCCACCTACTGGGTTCCTACTTTCCTCTACACCAAGGATGGCAAGAACTACGAGCCGGTCCCCGTCTTCCGCTTCAGCGCATACTACAACTTGGGCGAGACCCCTGCCGAGGTCGCCATCCCGCAAGACTTGATGATGGTTGCTGGCAAGGCCGGCGCCATGACCAAGGACGCCATGGACGTCAACGCAAAGGCCGAGTGGGCCTGCGAAAGCGAGAGCGTCGCCCTCGACGCCAACGGTTTCCCTTCCAAGACCTGCGGCACCCACGTCCAGCAACTCCTCTACTTCCCCCAGTGCGTCAACGAGCAGACCCTCGAGACTGGTTACAAGAGCCGTGAAAATGGCACACCCAACTGGTGCCCTGCTGGCATGAAGTCCATGCCCCAGCTCCGTTTCTCCATCCGCTACGATCTCCGCAAGGCCCTGCCCAATGGCTGGTCTGGAACCGCGCCTTTCAAGCTGGCATGCGGACCTGCGTGGTGCTCGCACGGTGACTTCATCAACGGTTGGGTTCCCGAGGCTGCTCAGAACATGGTCGGCACGACCAGCGAGAAGCAGCACTTTGCTCCCGTCAACGGTCCTCTTGGAAAATCCGATGCTGGCTCTACTTGCAAGTCTGCTGATGCTGACCCTAGCCACGGCACCAGCAACTACGCTGAGAGTGTTGCTGCCATGGCTAAGCGCAGCGTTGGCGCTTGGGGCTGGGAGACCAGGTCCAGGCTCGCTCGTCTGGTCAAGGGCGCCTAGGTCCGGTCGGAAATATCTGATACCCACCGTGGTACTTGAGAAAGGCTGAAAAGATGTTCATGTATATACTTAGAAGGAGAATTAACTCTGATTGACATTAACAAAACATACATATTGGAACTGCAGTAGCTTGCAATCTAGATATCCACTACACTACCATCGCAAACCCGTACACAATCTGCTGTCTTGTTCCACGCTGGCATCCTGACACGGCGTAACTATCATGCCTGCTCTTCTGTCTGTCTAAGACGGTCCAAGGTAGCGTCACTAATCGTATTGTACCACTCCACAATACCGCTTTTGATCCATCCGCCGCGGAGGGTGCTCATAGTAGAACCAAGATAGTTTCCGACCATCAAACCACCTCTGCCGTTCTCAGCTTTGATTCTATCGCAGAAAGTGTCGAGAGGTATGCTCTGTTGCATAGGCTCCATCCACTTAAGATCGTACTTGCTCATCTCTTTAGTCTCCTTCACGACCCGGATACCAGTCGTACTTGTCTTCCAAAGTCGATTGGTACAGAGCTGTATTCCTGCTGCGTTGCGGTCTAGAATCTTCAGCTGGCCGTTCCTCGCACGGTAGATTACTGTTTTGATATAACGGTCTGCCTCGTTGCCGGTCCGACCGTGGTCGAAGCGCAACTCGTGGTCGACAGGAACAAATGGAGTAACTTCCATCTCTCCAAGCAAGATATCGACTGTCTAAAGGCAGAACTCGTTCAAATGACGGCCAAACGGCGGTAAGTAGTCTGCGATGGATTCGGGGTCCTGATTGCCCACGAGGAGATGTGTGGCTGATGGGAAGCGACCGGCTTGCCAGGATGTATGCAGCTGCCGAGTGATGATATTTTGCCATTGCAATGAGACGAGTGCGTCAGCTTGTGGATCCAGCTCGTCCGTGTCTTCTACGGGTGCATATTGGGGACCTAAGTGGGTATATTGCATGCGCAGCTGATTGGGGATATTCAAACTCATCAGGCTCAGAACCAATGTCTGTAACTTTGGCAGAGGCGGACCTGTCATGAGTACATCGAACACAAATGGCGAGATTTCGTCTGCCTGAATGCGCAGATGCTCGAGGTGAGGTACTCGTCTTCTCAACGCTTCGCAAAAGGGATTGGTGGCAGGCATCTGAACACGCTCCTCGGCGCAGTTCTCGTCAAGCTCGAGATTATCCACAAAAAACTCAAGAGTTGAGCAGGACGGTGGCAGTGAATTGATCAGTGAGGCTCAAAGTTCAACCGGAATTTCCAACCCGTGTTCCTCATCATCATCTGACGAAGCGTCAAACGTGGACCCTTGTAGGAGCGGATCAAACGGACAATGGGGGGTGGTGAATGAAAATGATGTCAGTTCTTTCAGCTGGCTGGCGATAAGTATGGAGAGTTGCTTCGATGCAGCTATGAGACACAAGTCATTCGCCGCGGCGGGATCGTAGGGTGGTGGATTTAGCCGCACGGAGAGATTGCGCACAAGAGCGCCTGTCGTTTTTCGCGCCGCTTCGAGTGAACGGAGGAAGGGCACAGTGTTATGTTCATTGATCGGAATGTAAGTCCAGAGTAGTGGCGTTGCCAGCACATTCCATTGGCGACAGACTTTCAGTGCGTTAATATAGTCTCGTCGACCTGTCTTCGAATCCTGGTATAGTTCTTCGAATACCTGGAGTTTGAGCTCGTTTGGTAAGCGATTGAAGGGTGCCTCGAGTGACGACATTTTCGACGCCAGGGTGACAAAGAGTTGAAGTGAGTGGATCAGCTAGTTTGGTTGTTATGATATTAGGAAGGGAAAAATACATTGAAGGCGAGCCTTCTTATGTGGACAGAATACCTAGGCACCTATACCTGCGTACAATGAAACAAGGTGATTAGTAAAGGCTCCTGTATTCTAGTTGGTAACACTTTCACTAAACAGCGTGAAGGCGTGGGTTGCGTAAGTCGTCGACACAGCATGATACACTTTCGGTGAGCCATGAAAATCGTCCCAACGCTCATTAGGTTCGTTATCTGCATTAAAGCATTCTGCCCTAGTTCGACCGTCACACCGTTTCCGTAAAGCAGCATACGGGATATTTAGTAGTCGAGTGATTCTTGAGTAGCATACTGTCATTGGGCAGCACCTTCCCATTCTAGAAGTCACGCTCACTTCTCTCACCTCAGTTACCGACGAATGGCTCATAGCAGCGTACTCGATGTCGTTTGCTCCACTACTTGCTTTCGATTGCCTACACCGATCTCACACTCTTACCTCGATTAGGTTCACACCGGAATGAAGCTCCACATCCTCCACATCCTAGCCATCGTAGCATTGGCTTCGGCACATATCCTCCCACCCACCTCCACCGACAGTTCAACCGTCAATCTCACTCGCGATGCCTACAAAAACGCCGATGCAGATGGTGCGAAACTCAGCAACATCTCCGACGACCATGATCCTTCTATTGTCCACACTCTCGCCAACCCACCCACCAAATTCGAGAAAGCAATCTCGATCGGTCAAACTTTAGACTCGGCCATGCGCTCCAAGGATAGTGTCGCCCGCTGGTTTTTCAAAGACTTCCCACAGTTCGCCGAAACATGTCAATCACCTTTCACCGGTGACGGAAAAGCCGAATTGGCGAAGTGGGGTTTCGACGACAGCGACGCGTTAAGCGCTACGGTGGCCAAGGAGTGCGATTTCGATGGTTATCACAAGATCAAGGCGGCGTTTGATGAACTTGGTCTCGACACTAGAAGCAGTAAGGATGGGGACCGAATCATTGCTTCAAGGTGAATCACCGGGATGGCGTGGCTATCAAGAGAAATGAGGACGGGAGTTTACCAATTGAGGCGAAGCAATACTATGATGTTTGTGGCAAGGAGTATAGGGTGAATGATTCCCCTCTTGACAAGAACCACTGCGATGAAGCAGTACTAACATCACCAGGCTACAGGTGCATCTTTTGAATTTGCCGTCAATCCTAACGGCCTTATAGCCCTCATGAACGTGATGAGCATGACTTATTCCGCGAAGACATACACGTGGTTTCGTACACCCCTCCCCGAAGAGCTCCCGCATATCGGTACGACGCAGGACATTGCCTGGGCCATGTGGAACCGCGTCGATGCACCTGATCTCGCCGGCCTGAAGTATCTGCTCGTCACGCAGGTCATGAACGCGGGGAGTAGAGAGCTGTTTAGAAGTGCGCTGGAAACACTGAATCCGCCGCAGAGTGAGTACAAGTTGTGGCCGGGAGAAGAATTCAAAATAGAAACGAAGGGAGGGAAGGCGATTCTGGGTATGTCACGCCCAGCCTGGGAAACGACACTTCCGATAAACATCCATGAAGAGGTGGGCACTGACTAAACGCAGGCTCACCGGTGGGCCGATGGGCTGGCTACCTCTTACTACAGCACAAGGACCAACTTGGAGGGAACCGATATATCGAAAAGGTTAGGTTGTTCAAGCCACCAGGCGCGAGTCTACCGTATCTTCTCTTCTATGTAGCAAAGGAACCGGCGGCTGGACAAGCTAGCTTGACGGAGGCTGAGGCGCAGGCAGAGAAAGGCTCGCTACGGGTGGCAAGAAGAGAGATGGGCGGTAAGAACTTTTTGAGAAAGCACGTCATCCACATGGGGTAATAGAACATACCTATGACGTAAATGCCCTACGGAGTGTGTGTGACGTCGGAAATATTGGTCCCGAAGATGCTTCTAGAATGAGGACCGAAAGCTGGGTGGATTCGAGAATAGCAGATGTGCTTTATTGGCACACCGCCTTATCTTCCGCCGAGCCTTCTCATGTGACCACGCGGATCTGACTGGGGTATTGATTGGGCAGGCGCTCGACGCGCTCGACGCGCTCGACGTGTTTTACCCCTCCACGAACTTCACTCTTCGCACCACCCACACCGCATTTTAGCCCCTCGTAAAGCATCAGGTGCCCTTCCAAGTGCTTCCTGCCAACTATATAAAGCTCCTCGCGTTGTGCCTAGGAAATTTTCGGTACGCATGAATAAGATTCACGTCCACAAGACGGCGAGTGACGAAGAAACGAGTTTCCACGACGCAGACCACGACAATACGGCGAGCAATGTCTCCAAATACCTCCTCCACACTTTTCGACAACTTCGGTCTCAATGACGAGACTGACTCGAATCAGAGCCATCTCCTCGTCATCCATACTCCCGGGTAAGACTTCCCACTCAACATCACCGCTAACAGGCTAGCCCTAGGGAACGTATCCAAAGCTACACCAACGACGACGATACCCTCCTCCCCTCCCTAGGGACGTAGCCGACGACGGGGGCGGGGATCTATACCCGTAAAGTCTCACGCCCAGAAGAACTCATGGCACATACAACATCGTCACAAAAACAGAGACATATGGCCAGCGCAAATACAACGCAGGGGGGAAAGGCATGAAGGTAGGATGTGAGGACAGGAGATACGAAGTTCTTCTGGGATGTCGGATACAACTCCTGCGCATATTGGCATCTGCACTGAGTGCAAAATCCCTGCCTGTCCTGCACTCACATTGAGTGGGTGCTTATACCCCCCTGTACAGACTTAGCAAGTCGAACAAGCCTCTTCATTAATATTCTTCTATCGGTGTATCAATGTCTGATTCTTTTCTAGTGAATGTGTCGATCATGGGGGGTTGGACCTTTCTTTCATCTGTTCTTCCTTAGTCGAATGGCAAACAAATCTTGCCAAGCTACCTGGCGAGCAATATTTGCGTATGATACATGACAACTTCCAGAAATTGTCTGTTAGCGTCCCGAACACGCCGCCGCCACGTCCGGCGCCAAAGCCATATCCAACCGGGCCGCATCAGAGCGGTGTCTCAAAGGTAGGTAACACACCTCGAGGTCACAGCATGATCATATGCTGACTTCTAGAATTAGCACCAGCACGGTATTACCTCGGTGTGGATTTAATCATGACATTCATCCAGGCTTCCGTGGTACACGTCAGCGTGATAGAGGTAACTGGACAAGAAACCTTTCATTTGGGTATTCGGAGACCCTAGGAACGCGAAAGATGGGAATCATAAGGGGCAAGCATGGATGATGGGCAGATCTGCCCGTCTGCAGACTGAGACGTGGGTTTAGTTCGACGAATGGTCTAGGAAATTACGAACGGGGATTTCTTGAGTTGAGGGAGGTGAGAGCGAAATTGAAGGAGGTCAGCAATAGTCGAAAGAAGTTTAAGCAGGAGCGATTTGTGTTTTGGAAGAAGGGAATGCAGAAGATGGGGAAGAGGAATAAACACCGGAAGATTGGTCAAAAAGATGGAAAAGGCCGAGCAGATGCTTGGGGGAAGTCAGCGTGCAAACTGGCTGTGTGATCAGTGTCGACGGGGTGGAATGACGATGTGGCAGCTCATCATTTGGGATTCGTGGACTCAATTTCGTTCATTTAGACTATAGACGGGGATCGCGAACATGATAACAACGCTGGATGCGAACGCTATCACAACAGACAAGACATGTTTGAATGGAACGAGTTTGATCTTTCCTAACAAGCTCTTTGGGCCTGAGTGGGTATCCATGATTAACGCCTTTGAATGCCTTGCAAACGACCCCGATACTCCTAGTAATGCATGATCCGTGGCCTTAGCCCAACAGCCATGTACTTGCTGCTAGAGCTACAATTCTCAGTAGCTCAATGTGCACGAGTTGACGAGCCTCTGTTGCTCCCATGACTCACCAGCAGCACGACGTGCTTTGATTATAAAAAATTGTCATCGCATATCCTGGTTGCACCAAGAACAAAGCCCTCACTCTCATCCACTCCTCACCGTACTAGCATCGTCCCCACCACCCCCTCCATCCTTCTTTTTCTTCTTCTTTTTCCTCTCTCCATCCCCAGCAGCAGTAGCCCCTCCCTCGCCATCCACCTTCTTCTTGGGCCGCCCCAACTTACTCTCCCTCTCCCCCCTCCCCGCGTCCTCGGCACCACCAGCACCAGCACCACCAGCCTCATCCTTGTCCTGCAGCACCGCCCCCTCATCCGTATCAAACGCCTTCCTCTTCCTCTTGAGCTCTTTATCCGTCTCCAGCATCTCGCTCACACGGCCCAGCTTGCCCGTGTCGCGGCGCAGCATGAATTTGAAATCGTCGAGCTTGATCTTGGCGCGGCGCGCGTGGTGGGCAACGGATGCAGCTTCGTGGCAGGTTTCGATGATGTAGTCTGTGATGATTTCGTCGAGGACGCGCATCGTTTCTGCGAGGGGGTAGTCGTTGTCGCCAAAGGCGAGGAGGAAGGCTTCTACTGTTCAAAGGCGCGTGGTGGTGTTAGTTAGTGTGCTATGCGGACCAAGTAGACGAGGCGATAATGGCAAGGCTAAAGGACCACATTCTTACAGTCTTGCGTGGGGAACTGCTGGCCTTTTTGCCGCAGCCTCATGCGTGGCTCCGTCATGCTGGCGTGCTGCTGTCTCTTTGTCGCGCTTCCTTCAGCTCAGAAATACGGTTGTATCGTCTTTGTCGCGTTGCCGATCCGAAGCGCGATACGGGAGAGGTTTTGGATCTGGATCTGGATTTGAGCACGTTAAGAGGACTCCGGACGTGGCAGTTGGCGATGGATCTGGAGTCGCGATTGTCCGCAAGACTAGCGCGCGACGTGCGACGTGCTGCAATGACGATCCCTCCCGGAGGTCGCATGCGAGCGCGCACGGTCCCCGACAAGGCCGCCGCGGCGCATATGCTTGCGACGACAACAACGACAATCTAGTTCAGAAGCGCGCGCACGCATGCAGAGGCAGCAACTCTCAGCCCACCGTTCCGAATCAGTTCTATTCCTCTAAACAAATAGATAAAAAAGCAACACACGAGCTACCTCCCACGCCGTCCGTCTCACATTCACGCAATACCCTCTCTCTATCTCACTGTTCTCCCGGAAGCCACCTAGGCACTTTCACAATCATGGTCCGTAAACCCCCATCATCCACCACTCCCTTCCCCCAACAACCAGCTAACCACACACCCACGCCCTCCCACAGACCGCTCTCTTCAACTTCCAATCCCTCCTCCTCGTCATCCTCCTCACAATCTGCACCGCTACCTACGCGCACGCCACGTTCCCCACTTTCCTCGACTCAAGAAAGGACTCGTACTACATCAGTCCCGTGTGGAAGGCTGCCAGGATCGGCGAGAGGCTGAGTCCGTATGTCAGTCTGGCGTGCGTGGTCATGGCTGTAAGTCAAGGGCTCTCTTGATGTGACGAATGGCGGGGTTACGAAGGGGGAACAGGGACGATGGGGACGATGGATGGATGGATGGATGGATCGGGAGACGATATGGAATCGAGGGGGACTAGATGTCTACACGGCATGGAGGGCTGACGATATATAGGTATTGCAATTTATGAGTTGAGCGGCGTTGTACAGGGGACGCTGGGGGCACACGGGCAGGGAAACAAAAAGGGTGGTCACGAGGCGAGACCTCCACTGTTCTCTCTCTCCACTTCCATCTCCTCCACCTCTTTTTACCCACCCAGCTGATAATGAGCGTCGTCATAAGATGTGAGGCATGATGTTCATGAGAATGGGATGCTACCTATGTGTCGAAGAACCACGGCACGGACATGGTCGGCTCGTTACTCCAACATGATGTACCACATCATTCAATGTAGTCGAGTCCAATAAAGGCTCCTCCAAAGATTACAAGGTAGATGCAAAGTAAAAAGCGGACAATGAGCACCTCAGTCGACAGACAAGATGAATGCTGTGCAAGTCATGATTCGACAAGGCCCAAAAGGATCCCCAAGCACAATAGAGTCAAGAGAAACGAAGCCATTCATCAAGTCACACACATGTACATAAATACACATTGCAAGCCAGTGAGCATTTCAAAAGATGTTTTTGTTCTTTCCATAAAGATTAAAAAGGATATATACAAAACATGTAAGCAAGCTTTTACACCTGCTATCGTGCAGTGCCAGTGTACCAGCACAAAAAAACCTGCCAAATACCATCTAATTCCCTCACCCACCCCCCATAGAACACCACACACACACACACCCAATTTCGTACTATAGCAGTTGATGATACACGACGTCTCCAGCGCCTGGACTAATCTCGTGAGATGAGAGTTTCTGACATTTTAAGCGTTTCCATAAAAGAGCAAACAAGTTGAGGGACAAGGACGACAGAGAGAGAGAGCAAGAGAGAAAAAAACAAGGACCAAAAAATCCCCAGTCAAATGGACCCAACTCCCCGTCCATTGCTGGCGAACCCATGTATAAATGAACAAGTGGGGAGAGAAAAGCCACCACCACAAAACCAAAGTTTCAAGAGTAAGTTGGGGAAGGGTAAGAAAAAGATAGAACCATGAGCAACATAACCATCTCCATCGTGACAAAAAGCAAAGGGGGAATCAGAAAGTCGTTCGTCACCGCTGCAACAGCCAAGAGCCGGACCTAACTCGCTCTTGAACTGCCATTAGTGATCACGACTCCCCTCTCCCTTTTCGAAGCACCCATGGAGCGCCGGTCGCGATCCCCTACGTTCTTGCGCACCCTCAACGTCGCTACCGTCCTCGACCATGACGTCAACGTGGTGAAGATCAGGCTGGCTATGCGCATCGTCCGCGTCCTCGTCATCGTCGTCATCGTGGTCGCTAACCAGACCAGGGTTCGACTCAACGGTGTTGGGGCTGAGATGATGGTCTACCGGTGAGCTAGGCTCGTGGTGGTCGTTGTTGGGTGAGGGAAACGACAATGGGAGGCGTGCGTGGCTGGAGTGAGATCCCTTCTTACTGCCAGGTCGAGACGACTGGGCTTTGCTTGCGGGAGCGCTGGCAGGGAGACGGGCGAGATGGGGTGGCACGGCCGAGACAGGAGTTGGTGCCGGACTATCGTCATCCGAAGCGTCTATTGCGTCCAGGTCGACCTTTGAACGCGCAGTCTCGACAAGCTCCTTGAAGTCGCCTTGTGCGCCGCTGTTCTGGAAACGCGCAGCGAGATATGGCATGGATGATGACTTGACGAAGCTAGCTGGTGTGGCAGTCTTGGAGTCGTCACGTGGCGCGGCATTTGGATCACGATGTACTTCCCGAGCTTGAGGAGCAGGTGCAGTCTGTGATGCTAGCGTGTGGACGATACCAGGAGTAGCAGGGACGGGGAAAGATACGGCTGGCGGCGCAGCTGGGGTGCTGGCTGGTTCGGTGGCGGCAACAGGAGTCCCAACTTCGTTAACATCGACAGGCACACCACAGGTAATAGCTGCAGCGTCGTGGCTCTTAAAGACCTGTTGATGCTTTATACGGCAGTGGTTCAAGAAACCTTGGGTGTTGGAAAAGTTGCTGTGACCACAGGGAGCGCAGTACAAGCGCACCCACTGGCCGTCTGTCGATCGCTTGTGCAACAGCGGGTCAACCTTGGGCGCTGGTGCTGGAGTTTCACCAAGAGGAGTGAGCTTCAACATTCCAGTCGAAGTTCGCGACGTGCGGCCTCTGTGAGCTGACCCGTAGTCAGCAAAGCTGCCGCGCGTCGTCCTACCCTCCCCAGCGCCAAAGTAACCTTGAGCTTGCTGAGCAAGTGCGCGTTCAGAAACGGGGTCGAACTTGGCATCTGAGATCAACCATTTTGCATAATGCCGAGTGTACGGGCCGTCGGTCACTCCCCAAGGAGCAGCATACTGCGGTTCCGTAAAGCCAGAGGCGGGTTGCAACGAAGCACCAACGCCGAGACTAACATCCTCACTGAGACCTTCGGTACCCGGGAAAGGAATGAGCGAACACCGCCTTAGCTGCTCGAGGGAAACCTGGCATTTGGCGAGCTCCTGTTCGATCAAACGGAGTTCGTTGTGTTTCAGCAGAATCTCGTAGTTGATTTGCGCCTCGATGGCTTGTTGCACAGGAGTCAGTCCAGAATCCATGGTAGTAGATGGCGTGTTGATAGAGTCAGATTTGGTGGTCGGTTGTGAAGATTTCGATGCCTTGCTCTTGCTGGCGCCCTCTTTCCTCGAGGGTTGCGCCTTTGGTCTGACGTCTAGGACCTCTGCAGGTGCTTTGGGTGCGTCTGCAGTACGTTCATTTTCGGCAGCGGCTTTTGCGTTTGCATTTCCGTTGACAGCTCTAATCTCACCGTGCGCGCCCTTCCACTTCTTCATTACTGGTTCAGGACTGTCAGTCCGTTTCCGCTTGATCTTGTTCATGAAGTGTGGCATGTCGACGACCGGCAGCGGTCTTGACTTGTGAAGGGTAGATTTTTCCATGATCTTGTCGCCAGGCGACTCGTTACACCATGGGAGGCGGAACATGGACTGCATTGTGAAAGAAGTGGAAGCCTAAAACCAACAGAGCTCATCTGTAGTTGTGAGGGTCGTGCGCATCGAAGTCCAGGTGCTAGTAAGGCTGCAGGATGACGTTGCGCCAACAGTAATGCGCGACTGGAGTTCGACAAGAAAATCGAACAGAAGTCGTGCGAGGGAAGAATATTAAAACAGGTAGGGGGTATCAAGTGTGCGCGAAGGAGTGCAGGAAGAGAAGCAACAAGCAGTTAAGCCGTTGCGATGGTGACGTGGAGGGCAAGAGGCGCGATGATCGGCCACTTGATAAGGAAGAAACAGCCGCACCAGCACGAAATCCTAGAAAAGAATTCGTGAATACAGGATAGAGGGGTGTATTACAGTTGTGCAGGGCTACAAAAGGCCGTGTAGAGGCGTGGTGGGGGAGGAGGTTGGGGATGGTGTGCCAGATGGCGATGATGTTGTGATGAAGGGCAGCGACGACGAAGTTCGGGGGGGGAGCAGTCATTCAGCGCATTTCCGCACGTACGGGCTAAGCTAAGCGGCGCTAGCGGGGGTATCCCTGTCGAGCCACCTCCTTGCCGGAATTGGCGATGTGTGCCCTTGCGTCTCAGACAAAAGTCGTCGACAAAGCAATTCACATGCGAAAAATAACAGCCATCCAACATATCGCACCTCTCCCCCGCCCAGTGTCCCTCGCGCATCTCACTGGGGCATGTCGCTCTCGACTCAACGCGTAAGGTTTGCTTTTCGCGCAATTTACATCATTATGGGGCCCTTCGCTAAGTGTTAGCCAAGGGGCGTGTCCGCTAACCTGCTGCCAGCAAACGTTTAACGACTCAAGTCTTGTCTCAGTCGTTATGTCATTCGGCTTGCCGGCTTACGGCTGTCCGCGGGGGATTCGCAACGTGGTAAGCACTGGGAGGGCACCATGAGATGATCTATCAGTCAAATGTGCCCACGACAACTTTTTTTCTTTCGCGTAGACCGACAATTCATAACAAAGCGGAAGCGTCGGATCAAGGAACGATCCCAGGGACACTATTTACTCTCCGATGGTCTACTCGTGTCGCTCCCACCACACCTCCAACGCCTCGATCAACGTCCGGTGAAGTATACACCTCACTCCTGCTGTGTGGAACAAGGTACTCGTCCTAGCCCCAAGGATGCC